AAGTAGTTGAACCGGAGTTAAGTTCTCCAGAGAGACTGAAAAAGTCAGCACTGGGTATTCAAATAATTATGAACAGACTCCATCACGATGGAAATAATAAAATTAACGAAATTAAAGTTAAAGCATCAGAGCGTGCTATCCAGGACATTAAGGATACCTTTGGAAGAAAATCACTTGTTACCTTTACGAGCAAAGTGCAGAATTCTGTAACGCCACGGAACCCCGTGATGAAACGGTTCAACAATTCGCCTATCGGCTTAACTACCTTTCAAATGAAATTGAAGAACAGTGTACAGTAAAAATTAATCCCTCATGGAGATTGTTAATCATAAAATTATTTCTCTCATTCATCGAACCGGAGATAATTTTAAATTAAGTTATAACTCTAGATCAATATTATAGCAATAACTCCAATTGCCTTGACTATAAATACGCTCTCAACACACTTCTCCAAGCGCAGACAAGATGTTCTTCTTTTAGTGGATTCCAAGAAAATAATTCTAAAAGTAAATATTTACCTAAATCACATCAATTTCATTGAAAAGACTGCGGGATCGCCGCTTGAGACCACAATGTCCTTTTATCAGAGAAACAAGCAAATTTTGCGGAAAGATTGGCATACTGAAACAGCATGCCCGCTTTAATTCGGACAAAAGTTTGAACAACTTGAGATAGTTGTGGACAGGAGCGCCTACCCCCACTTTGTTAAAGGCAAAGGGCAAATAATCAATGAACTTTAGACAAGAACGTTATTAACACATAGATGGCCTTCAAAAGCTTATTTAAGTAGATATTTAAAAAGCCTTGATCACGATAAAGCCATACTTAGTAACAACTTTAAACCTAACCTAATATCAGTAGGCAAGCTAATGAAAAAAAGTTATATTGTGTACTTTAAAGATGACCAAGTCTTTAATGGAAAAAAAAATAACATTGGAACTCAGAAAAATAATAGAAATGACCTGTATATTCTTAACACTGAGAATGCAAACAAAATTTTTTCCATGTCGGCAACGACTAACAAATCTGTTGTGACAATGTTCTAAGAGAACACTACGAGTTCGAGCACATTGGTCATTACTATTTAAAAAAAATTTGTCCAAACAGCTTATTTAAAAACGAAAATTGTGAAAAATATGCTTAAATCTAAAATGAAGAAAAAGAAAGTTAGCAAATTTTGCGGAATCCAAGGCTTTCGAAAACCTGGAAAATTGAATATATATATAGACACTTTAGACTGGGATATTACTTCGTACGAAGGGTAAAATTATTTAATTGTTTGCACTGACGCGAAATCGAGCGGTGTTACAATATTATTGCTAAAAACAAACAGGAAATTAAACATATAATTAAATGGAGTCAGTGGCACAATAAATTCTTAAAGAATTTTAACATAAATGGAAAAATTACGACGGTTATTATAGAGGAAATAAGAGACTGATAAAAGTAGCGAATTTTATTAACTACAAGCTCAATCAAGACATACAAGAATAGGGTATTAAACTATCAACTGTATTTCAAGATACCCCTCAATACATGCTAAGTGAAAGAAGCAATCAAAGCTTATATAACATGACCCCGTATATATTAAAACAATCTAACCTTCCTTAAAACTATTGGAAAAAGGCTATCTGTGATGCAGTTTTAATTCTTAATAACATACCAAAAAAGGGAGAACAACTTACAACTAACCAAATTTTTGATTCAATTTCAGATTTAAATCTTATAAACCTTTAGGCTGCAAAGTCTTATATTACGTTAGGGTATTTAAACCTTTACTGATCGTTATCTAAACCTCTAAGCTCTTTAAAATTAATTGTAAACAAATGTATATATAGAGAGAGACTTACATATGTGACTAAAACAAAAAAAGCACTGAAAAAAAAATTAGCATTACTGCCGGTTTATTTTTCGTGAACGTTCATTATACTGACAACCAAGCAATCAACAATCTAAATAATAATCATAAATTGCCTAAAATGGTAAGTTGCGTTAAAACTTATGAACTAGGATCTTTTCCTCAAAAATACTATAATTCAAATTAAAAAAGGAAATCTCAAGATCGTGCTTTCGTCTAAATTAATGATTCCACTGAGGGCGAATATAACATAATTAGTGATAACACAGGTAAATGTTGTAAGGAAGTGCTCCATTTTGGCAAAAGAAACATAATTGAAGCTACACTTAATCCTTTATCTATTCCTATAAGCACAAAGAACACGGCCTACCAAACAGCTTTTCCTGTGAACCCGAAAGTAATGTACAGACCTAATACCGAAATCAACAACGTTATTAATACAATTAACGAGAATAAAAAACTTGAACTAATTAGGAAAACAATAGATCATTTCGAAGAGCCTGACATCAGATTTTTTAAATAAACTCACAGTGTTCGGATCAGTAAATAACTAACATAAAAAAGCAGTTACCCATTATAATGCAAAATATAAACCTTACAAGAAACAGTCGGGTAATTTTAAAATTTATGAAGATTTTATAAATACAAATATAGTATCAGCTTTAAAAATGCTTTTGAAGATGAGGAAGAAAACGATTGCGAAAAAGAACAGCTGCTAAATGATATAGATATGCACTACAGTGAGAATAACAAACAGGAAGTGAAACAAAAGACTCTTTAAATGTGTTGCGGGCAACATGCTAAAGAAAACAAGGTTATCAAATACCTTATTAACTCATGATACTTAAACATATTCTGAAGCGATTGCATCAGCAGACAAAGACTTGTATAAATTAGCAGCTAAATACAAACTCACAACATTATTAGAACATTTTGGTTTCGAGATAATTATCATGGATTGTATTCCTGATGAAAAAATAATATTAACTGCAGGGAGTTACATATTAAACCAGATACTCAATACAAACAATCTAGCCTGGTCACCACGAAATATCGCTGACAGTACTAGACTGACATAACATATGCCACTTCTATACTTAGTTACCTACATTACAACGGTGATGAACACATGAGGTGGGCGTTTCAGACGTTAAAGTATTTTAACAAAATTAAAGAACTTTCTCTAATTTAAATTATAGAGATTACCATGAAAATAAGGTATTAGTAGAATGCTACCTTGACGCTTCATGGGCAGACACATGTGCTATAAAACCACCATGGGGTATATCATACTTATTAATCACTGCCCTGTTTAATGTGCCTTTAACTTAAAGAATAAACAATAATATCTTCCCGTGAAGCTGAAGATATCAAAGTAAACAAGGCATTGCCTAGCACGTTTGCAATTAGAAATATATTAACAGAGACTTCCTGTTTACGGAAATGATATTAAGATCTATATAGACAACGAAGCGGTTAAGGGCATAACTAGAGGCGATGCATCTAACAAAAGGATTATATCTATTGATAGAGCTTATCATTACATGAGGAATGCCATGCAAAGGAAAGAGTATGATATACACCAAATGCACTCGAACTACAATATCGCAGATATATTTACTAAACCATTGTCTCTATATAAGCGTAACCCTATTATGAAATATTTATTTAAGGGACGTGATAACATGGGGTCGTAATAAGTAAATATACGTGATCAAGTGAAAAGTCGGGAGCGATAGAAGTTTTTACAGAAGGAAATATGTTTAAACTAGCAAAAACTAAAACACGTGTAGGTTGCTGTTCCTTCTCCTCTCTTTTCTTCCCTCTAAATTCTTTACTGTCTATTACCATGCACGTGGTCGCTACACACGTGACTCTCGTTAGCGCTATTTTTTTGTCTGTTAATAATTGTCAAATATTACAAAGACATATCAACTAGAGACCTCATAAGAAAAAAAACACGCGGGCAAGAGGAAGAATTAAAAAGAGATAAATTTTATTGAGCTTAACGAGAAAAATGTATACTAGTATTGCGACTAACTTAGGACAAAATTAATTATTACTACAAGGATTATATGGTAGCAGTTATTGCTCTATGGTAGTTATTATCACAATTATAGTGACACCTTTTCGAATTGAAAGCCATTATGTAACAAGCCTGCGATCCCTCCTAATTGAGAGCTCGAGTACTCGACGTTTTTTGTCTCGGTCGTGCACCAGGAACTGTCATTCATAAGAAATTATTTCTAAATACTTTCTTCATTTTATAAAATAATTCTTGGCTAAAAGTAACAGTTTGAATAAAAAAAAAGATGTCTACGTTATTTATAAGCAGAAATGCGAGTTCATCTTAGTTTAGTTAAAATTTTATTTGTAAATTACTGTTGAAAGTTTACATTTTTTGGTCTTAGAGTTAGGTGTACATTTTAAAAATAGATTTTGATCATAACGAGGTTGAGAGCTGTTTAGCATAGCTCGGAGTTTGAGGATTGATAAGCATTTTCAGAATACTTATAAGAACTTTTGATTTATTAAAGTACTAGTATTGATAGGGTAAAGACTACGAGAAAGAGGCAGGACAAGTGTGTAAATATTAGTGCCATTCTCATTAGATTTCCATGAGATACTTTTCTACTTTAAATTGTGTTACTTATTACCAAAAAATCTATTATATGGCCTTATATTATTATTTAATAAAAGTTACTAGACCGCTATTAGTTTATAAAAGAACAAGATTACTAAATATAATTCAAAAACTTTAAAGTCCTTACTAGCTGAAAAAAAATACTCTCGACGCTTATAATATTTTTAACTGTTGTTCCATTCAAGGATTACCTTATAAAATGATTAAAAAAAAATTAATTTCTTGAACTTCACAACAATGGTTATTTAGAATTTAAAGAACTTTATTAAGGAAAATTGCCTTAATTCCAGTATAATTAAAAAACCACCGCTCTTTATAAGAGTTAACGATGCTATAAAATTAATTAATCATTTTATTAAGATTAATATGCAGCATAATAAAGTAACTAAAGTTTTTTATTACTAAAAATATTGAAGGTAAGAATTTACTCTATAGGCCACAACCACGTGCATACACATGAACATCTTCCGTAAACGTTAAAGCGCGATTTTCTGAAAGCCTTCATCTTGCAACTTCTACGATGGTGAGATATTTGACTCGTTCTTTATTTTTTTTTAACCAGCTGTTCTATATATATATTTTATAAATAATAGACCAAGGGAACTTCAAGTTTTGGTAAACGTCACACTAAGAGTCACGTACTTTGCCTAAGATGCAATTCTCGATCTTTTCACACCCAAAAGCATCGTTGCGCTTCTTGTGGATATCCTTCTGCTAAGCTACGCAAATATAACTGGAGTGCGAAGGCTAAAAGAAGGAGAACTACTGGTACTGGAAGAATGCGGTATTTAAAAAAAGTACATCGAAGAGCGAAAAACGGCTTTCGCGAAGGTACTCAGACATTATTGTAAACTTAGACTTTTTTCTTTTTATTTCATTTATCCTCTTTTTTAGCGGCAAAAGTAAAACCAGTAAAAGCTTAAGAGTTTAAATTCGTTTGCATAAACTTTTTTGAATTTAATAAATTATGTATTTCATTTTTAATTACAAGTTTTAAATATATCTTTGAAATAACATTTTACTCTACAGACAATTTTTGTGCGTGTTTTACACACACCTACATACTAATATGTAGTAATAGAGAACATTAGTTAAAATAGTTTATAACTTTTTTATAAGTTAATATTTTTGCTTAGGAGCCATCAGCTTTTCTCATTTAGATCCACTGTGTTAAGTTAATAATCTGAAATCTTATAGGTTTTGCTCTAAAGAAGTTTTTAAGTATAAACTTTTTTTATAAGCTTTATGCTTAACACGACATAGTTATAATATATATTTAATAAGGTTACAATAATTGTTTGTCAGTAATTATATTCTTGTAGCAACTAAAAAGGTTTTTTGCTTAATACTTGCTATTATAACTTAATGCACTAAAGCACCTGCTTTTACTTATAACTTGAAGGTTTGTAAAAAAGATCAGGTCAAAAGTGGTTGTGAAGGGATACAGAAATTAAAAGATAAACAATATTAGTAAATTAGCGAATAAATTTATTAAATAAATTCTTATTTTTCATAATTGCGGGACAATAAGCTGTGGTGTTGTATATATATTAAAATTTATAAAAAGTGATGAGTTGAACCTCGTGTGTAGTAAGTCCTTGCGAGACTAATAAGGTAGTTCTTGTTGAAATTGTAAGAAAGGTATTAGAAAAATAGCAACTTTTTTTCTTAGTACAGTCAAAATTTCATAGACATGTACATTTCAAGTGTATAGGGAATCATTTATTACTTTCCATAATTTTATTCAATAAATAAATAGAAGGTAATTATTCTTAGAACTGTTAAGGAGTAAATAATAGAAATTTATAGTGACTGCAATCTATACTTAAAATATATTTTTTATGGGTCAAGCACTGCGCATATTCACTTTTACAGTTGAATACAAAGATTCCTTGTACAGCATATTTACGCTTATTCGGTTATCTTTTTAAAAGATTTAGGTTTTACTTGTCCGAAGTATCTTTAAAAACATTATAGTTTAAGTATAATCTAACGAACGGTTGTATGAAGAAATAGAAGTTTGGGCTAGTCAAGATATTCTCAAGTTAAATGTATCAATTATTTAATTCTTAATAAAAGATTAGAACTTAAGATTCTTACTATTTTACAATAATAATATTTAGTTTAGTTATTGAAATAATGCAGTAACTTATTTAAAAAAAAAACTTATGAAAGGGGCATTCACCCATTTGACATTAGTAACAGGTTAAGAATAAATACTGTCATAACGTGCAAACTTAAATTATAAATTTATAATATGAACAGATGAAGTAGATTGCTTAAATCAAAGCAGTTGTTAATTATTATACCGGGATTAAGCAAAATTTTATTCACCCGTTGCCTTTTAAAACTAATCGCTTTTTGTCTCCTACCATAATTCCTTCTTGAAGAATCGAGGCTCATAATAAAAAGTTCTGTACGGCATAGTACAAACTTTTTCATTTATCTATTAGCTACCGGTAATTTAAAACTTTGAAGGAGTTGTTCCCCTACAAACGCTAATATTTTTGAAAGTTTGTATTTGTACTTGGTAGGTTAGAGTGTAGAAATAAATAACAAGCAAAAAAAACAACTAACACAAAAAAAGATAATAACGTTTTACGTTGGAAGGTTACCTATCTTTGTAAGCATTTTGAGTATACTACATACTGTAGAAAATTATTTTCAGCTAATTGTCCATAGCTAAGTATTACGTAAGAAAGAAGGTTCAATGACTTTAGCATTTTGTCGTAGCGCATAAGCGAGAATGCTACGACTAGCAAACTATAGTTCCTAGAAGAAGTCCTGCATTACTGAGAGTATTGTTTACTGCTTAACGATTGTTGCAAATAGAAAGATTACTTTAACCACAAAATCAATACAACTTATTGTTCCATATGCTCAATGAATATTTCGCAAGGAAAGTTTCACCGAACTAGCATATTGTTCAAAGATAGTATAAGTAGAGTAATTAGAAGCGAACAAAAGAGAGATAAAAAAGGAAAAGAAACTTAATCAAACTATTAAAAGTTATTAAAAAAATGATAAACAGATGAAACCCAAATAAGTATACAAATAATACCCTTTAGAGCAGAATTCCTACTTTATTACATTAATCTTTCCCCTTTAATTAAAACATGAATATGAAAATAAAATATACATCAGTAAATGATGCTTATAGTTATTGAAGTTAACAAACGATGCATCATACAACCCTGATGGCATAAGTACTTAATCGAAATATATTAGTGGTAGAGAAGAGAAGCTATTACAAAGATTGTGAATACAGCCAAACCGGCTGTCTAATAAAAAAATCTTGTCTCTCTGTGTTTCGTATGCCTTGTAAATGTAGAATAGATAGTGTCTCAGTGGGCGACCTTAACGAGGAGTAAAACACCGTAACGATTATCAATAAAGATAAAAAAACAGTAAGTTTTCTTGAAAAAAAATTAAGACTCAAAAAGTACCTTAAATGCCTAAAATTATAAAAGTGCTAATTTAAAAACTAGTATTTTTAAAAAAATGTTTAAAGCTATGGTAATTATAATAATTCCAGGTTTTCATAACTTTTTGTATTTTTATGAGAGCTTAATATTTTAGTAAATGCGTTCCAGTCCTCTTAAGGTTTGACGTGGTAAGGAATCTAACTTTATTTAATTTCCTTCGTAAATACTTTATATCTCTATTTACTTTATAATAAAGGAGACTCCGTATAAAGTGCACTAAATATTTATTTGGAGTTACCTTTACCTCTATCTGACTAATCAAATTTTTCGCACTTGTCACTGCTACCACTCAAATATCACAAAATTTACATAACGACACTCATTCAATTATTTAGGGTGAGGGATCTGCTGCGGACAATTAATTACAACAAATAAACTGGTCAAGGATAATAAAATTTACTTAAATATTTAGTTACCAATAAAAAATGAGTACCAACTCTAAATAAGTAATTACAAAAAACAAAAAACAAAAAAACAAATAAGTGAATCGAAAATAAGTTAATCACATACAAAATAAGTATAACGATAGATTAATTAGATAAGGAGTTTAACCGCACAACTTAAGCAGAAACAGATTTAGTTTTGTAAGTTGGTAGGAAAATGTTTTTCTTCGCGCAAATGAAAGTATTTACATATTTAAAAAATTTATATATAGAGTTTGAAAAATAATTAGAAAAATAATTTTATTAGTATATATAGTCTGAGTCAACTTTTAAAGTAATAGTTATAGTGTACGTGTACACTTTTCTTTATCAAATTTTCACGCTCTCTTACCGTTATTTAATGCGGTTTCCACTAAACTTACTACAACTATTTTTCTTAAACACATAGCTTAATAAGGATTTGGTTTCTATGATAAGTTAAAACTTCGAGAAATGAGAAGAGTTTACCTCGACAACCTAGTAAGACGAGACGACTGAGTTGCTATACTAGTGGGCGAGACCCTAATGCACCATTGGGTCCTTCTTCCAAAACTCAAAGGGCGTAAACACTTTAAAGTTTCATCTTTCGCATGCCAGGAGGAAGTTGAGAGACATGATTTCGTTTACAGCCTCTTATTAAGTCGCTGGCTACAACTGTTTTGAATGTACTGCTGTTAAGTAACCTTGCTTAGGTTTAGAACAATTAATTCTTTAATCTGAATATACTAAATTGTAAAATATGCCGAACGATACAATTAACGTGTGCACCGAAGCAATAGGAAGATGGATTCTGCAAAGGTTATTGATGTAGTCTTCCAAAACACAATTTATTGCGAACAAGAAGCTATTAACTGATCACATGTCCATTCTGTCGGATTTTGTCGAAGACAACGAACTATGAATGAGGTTGACACAAACTAGATACGCCCAAAGCAATATTTCATTTTGGTGTGTCTCCTCCTTTGATGCCAGCATTTGCTTGGAAGGGGGTTTATTTGTCTAAGTCATCGTCTGATCGCCTTTTACAACAGACGCCTGGACGAAAATGTATTACGCGACAGATGAAGGACAGTTAACATTTTTAACGTTTTTTCAAGAGAATTTAAAAGCCACCGTCGCACGCAATCCCGCCTTTAGAAAGCGGCGCGTGGTTATAGCAAAAAAGATAAAGCGCAATACTTTTCACCTTCCAGCCCCGCTGTTCAAGGTCAATTTAAGGAGGCTGTGAAGAATTTAAAGCCTAGCAAAAAAAGATGAGAAACTAATATAGTCTATATTCTACCATGGCGGACGGTGTTGCCATTGAGATTCTCAAAAGGATACCACATGTAACAACAATAGGGTTTCTAACCTTCCTCACAAATTTGGTCATGTCGCTGTCGTTAACTCTAAACCCCTGCGAATGCTGCTCGATTTAGTAAACTCTTGGCAGCACTGAGAATTTGTAGGAAACCTCAATCTTACTAGGATAACCTTTTCGGCTCTAAACAAAACCACTTAGCGACACAGCAACTCTAAACAACCCGTTGCTTTATATTAAAAAAAAAAAAAGAAAGGAAAGCCTTTTGCTTAAACTGCGTGTGCTGCGTCACTTACCTGCCCTTTACTACGTTTTTAAATCGTTCTTAAGCAGTCTTGGTCTCCTAATTACCACTGCGTTGTAAGCTGCTTTAGCTTGTTACAGAAATAGTATAAGAACTCTACTATCCCCACTGGTGTACTCACGTTATGTATTAGTATCTGCCAATCTATACCCGCTCATCGCACTTCATGCCAAAGACAATCGAGAAGAATATAGCTCAAGCAGCACCTGCTGCGAAATCTAAAATATTCGCTAGTTTATTTGCCTTTGTAGCGCTTCTAGGGAGTAATACTTACATACCCAGCGTATTGCTTATTCCTAGTACTATACGAACAAGCTTTACTTGTATTCCGTACGCGGCAACACTTTTAAACCGCCTTTACGGCTCCAGGACGTAGAAAGCTTCCTTTATTAATAAATAGATTAAGCAGTATTCTAGGGTCTTTTTTTCAATAAAGTCTATATAGTACTTCATAACTAAATAAATAAAGCAGCACAATTGTATTGGAAGCACTCCTTATTATCGCTTACGATTCACCTGCTTGGGTATTCGAGCATCGTTAACAGGTGTAAGCACTGAAGGAAAACTATAGTAAATTGCTGTGACTGCTAACTGATGCACTGTACTTTGTGACCCTCTGCAAGGTGATTCCAGTGAACCACAATTAGATTTTTTTTTTTTAAAGCGCGGCTAGAAAGATCACTAAAGAAGCCCGCGTCATCGCTTCAATGATGCGCTATAGGCATGATATAAACATAATATATAAAGCAAACTAAACTCGTTGCACGCATAATTTTTAATAAAGCCTTCCACGCAATTATTATTGTCCAGACTAAGCAGACTGCGTTTGTAAATATTATAAAACTGTAATAGTTACTCAAAAAATAGTACGGATTTTAATATATTAAAAGTTTTCGAATTACTTTTTAACTTTTAATATCTTAGACTCACTCTACAAGATCAACTCGGGCTACTTCTTTTCCTATTAGAATCTTAAATCTAAACCGCTTTCATTGTCTATAGTCTGATGTAAATTTTGCAGTTTACTTTCTTTCTTCTGCAAAACTCTTATTCCGCAAACACGATGTTATAATTTTATTTTAAAGTTAATGTGCTTTATTCCCCAAGTATCCAATTATTTGCCATAATTTAATAAAAAAGAAATCTAATTTTTTTTAATAATTTTATTGGAATGCTAATAACTGTTCATAAAAAGCACCATTAAAACCGAAGTTTCTCAAAAAACCTAAATTTAAAAAATGATTAATTCCAAAAAAAGAAAAGGAAAAATTTTAAAGTACCAGCGATACTGTCCCGTTTTATATTTAGTCTCAAAAATTTTTCTAAGTTCCTTGCGTATTTTTTTCAAATTAGCTGGATCTTTGGGATTTTTTTCCTTAATAACATCTTTTACTTGAGAAACTTCAAACTTATACCTCAAGTTTATAAAAATTTTAATGTTTTTTTTTAAAACTGCCTATAAATTACCTGGTTGGAAGCAAATGATTATAATTTATTGTTTTAATAAATGGCTTTATGCGAGAACGCTTATGAATTTTGCTTTTTGACATGCCTTTTGAAACTTTGAGTGGAGGACGTGCGATTCCAGCAATAATTGCATAGCCAAAATCCTTGTCGCTACCGCTTTCTGGTAAAAAATAAAATAATAATAATAAATTTTATCAAGTAACGCTGTTGAAATACGCTTTTCAACTGCTTTAACAATCACAGCTTTTTTCCCAGCATACCGTCCGTGAGTTACCAGAACAACTTTATAGGGTTGCATTATTTCAACCATTTTTTCTAAATTCTAATATAAACAGAACAAAAAAGTAAATTTTTTCCCAGCTAAATATTAAAAAAAAAATTGGGCACCTTAGAAAACTCAATCGTCTAGTGGAACGGGGAAATTAATAAAGGACCGGAGTTATTCTGGTTTTTAAAAATTAACGTCTCTTGGTGCACATTTATTGTGACATTTGCCAGGCAACCACGCATGTTTTCGATTTAGCTTTTTTCATGCTCAAGATTTATCTTCGTGTATTATTTTTATTAAATAATTAACTTATTATTACTCTGAGTCTGCTTTACTTAAACATTTAATTAAATTGCCGTCGTAAGAGATGTTCTATAAATATTTTATGCTTGTTATAAACTGCAACTCTATTTTAAAACACCACAAGAAGGTCTCAGTAATGTTAAGCATGCATCAAGTATGTTTTTGAAAATAATAATTTATAAACCATGGCAAAGTTTCAAGGATAAATACTCTTAAAGCAATTTTTATTTTGGTTATACTCTTAAAAGTAGTTTTAATTTTTATAAGGAGTTATTTTTGCACTGTAATGCCGTGTAATAAGCTTTAACTTTTTTATATTAAACATAGTTCTACAGGGGAGCTCCTAAAAATTATACTTTGAGCAGATATTTTTTTTACTAGTAGCTATTAATTTCTAATAAAAAAATTTTAAATACTAACTTAATTGGGAAATTACTATTGTTAGCTTTCCCTTCAGTTATTTTTTGCCTACATTCATATGATAGCTAATACTTTGAGATTTTCACCCTCTTAATATTTTTATCATTTCTGTTCTTTAAACTGTTTTTTCACATTGTTTGTAACTATGTTTAAACGCGGCAGTAATACAGTTGTTTTACAAAAACTCTTTATTAGTATATATTTTAAAATGTGTAATATATTATAATAAATTTGAATTTGGTATTTTCATAAAAGTGGTACCGGGATATTTAAAAAGATTCTAAAGCAATAAAAGAATAACTTTTATTCAGAAAAGGGTTATATATAATTATCAAATAGCCATAAAAAGTATTTGCACATTGGTGGAAAAGTCATCACGGTTACTAATTACATTTTAAAAATTTAAGATTTACAAATAATGTTAAGTTAAAAAAGAGTACTTAAAAAAAAAGTTTTTAAGCGCTCCCATTCCTCATTAAAAAAAGAATTGATAACTATACTACAAATTTTTGAAATAATGAGCTACCAAGGTAGTAGGAATTAATTAATTTATAAATAATAAGGATATATAAGTATCAAAGATATCGTAAGAATTTACAAAATTGTATTTTTATTTCTTTTGATCTACTGCGCCTGTTTTTCTTTGTCTTCAAAAATGGGATTTTCTTTTACATATTACTATAATTTTTTTTATTTAAGAAATATTATAGTCGTGTTCTTATCCTTCAGCAGGTTTATCAAACATCCCACAATATAAATAGAAAAAACTGTAAAAGTTATTTAAAAACTTAAATTTGCACTTCATAACACATTAGTTACTTCACTAAATCTGATATACATGCACGTGAACTATAAGGGTCTGCTCAATAGTTGTTAGTGACATTATTTGCTACATTTACCAACAGTAATAATCCAGTACTTTTAGTGTATGTTTTTTTTTTAAAAATATATCAGTAACGCAAGAAAATGACGGCCAGAGTTGCAGATTTTTGCACTCGTTTAAGAAATGCCTCCAGGTTTTGGCTGTGGGAGACCACAGCCCCGCATAGTCAACTTTTAGAACAAATTGCTAAACAGTTATTTATAACTGGTTTTATTCAAGGCTACCAAACAATAGAAGTTCGTAAGAATATTCGCGTTCTTAAAATAAATTTGAGGTCTTATAATATTGTAATACCCGTTTCAAGCGTAGTATATTTAATTAATAATAAACAGGTACCGTTTGAATCAGCCTGCAATTAACTCTATTAAAGCACTTTCCGTACCTTCTAGAAAGATTTTTGTTTCAAGGGCCGATTTAGCTAATTGGAATTACTTTAGCGATACTTCAGGTCTATTGTTTAAACATAGATTTTATGTTTTCTACTTTTATAATACTGTTAAATTAATGACTTCTGTTTATACAATCTTTTTAATCTTAATTTTTGCTTTTTTTTTACTTATCTTTTACTGCTAGTTTACTTAGTAAGTACTCAAGTAGGAGTACTTCAGCACACCGAAGCCATTGCTAGATGTTATGGCGGTATGTTGTTATTAAAAGTAAATTAATATCACTGGTAAAATTAATTTATAAGTGTTTTAAAATAATTACAGACTTAAATACAGAAAGTTGTAATATTAAAAACTATATTCGAAATTTTGTATCATTAATAGTTCTTTGTAGATTTATTTTAAATATAATATATTATTTAATATAGTTTTACTAATAAAGAGGAAAAGAAAAATTGTCGTATTTTCATTATTTTTAAAGTATTAATTTAGTTTTTTTTTAAAACTTCTTAAATTGTAAAAACAATAATTTTTTATACCTACTACTCTAGCCTTTTAATTTAATTTTGCATGGTACTGTTTTCAAATTATGGGTCTGTCAAATTTTATTGATTTTTTGCAACTTCCTCCGAAACTTTTGGATTTATTTCGGCTGATTCTTGTGGAAGTGCTTTTTCGTTACTTTCTTGTTGGCATTTTTCAAAAAGCGTTTCTTTAGTTTCTTCAGTGTTTACAGAGGGTGGCTTTTCTTTTAACACACCGATTTTATATAAAACGTGATCCATCTTGTCTGGATAGTCCTTAAAATTTATAATAAAAAATTGTAGAATAAATAATTTAAGTTATAAATTTGACAAATAAACATTAAAGTTTAAATTTAGATTTCTTAGTAATTTTGAGCGAACACCTCGTGCAGTAATCTTACGGGATTTGTCGATAATTTTAAGGCAACTAAAAAATCATGCTACATTCAGTCATTTTATTGGATTAGAAACAAACACGTGTCATAACGAAGGTCATATCATTAGCACACTGAAAACTTTTAGACGCTCGCTGGAACAAACAAATTGTGTTTTTCTAGCCCCTCTTTATAAGTATTGGGACGGCAAAGGCCTTAAATACTTTTTTTTGGCGCCAATAAGTTACCCGCAATTTAGTCTAGCCCTCACGCCACCACTTTCCCCGACAGTACAAAGTAGCATTTTTAATGATACAGCCAATAAAGGTAAATTGTACTTAACCAAGTTTCGTGACTAAGTACCTGCAGAGCTAAAACTGTGTCAGTCAAAAAAAAAGCTTTAAGTTTAATACCATATACACACATTGAACGAACTGCACAAGAAATTTTATAAACAGTTTTCTTTTAATATCAGTCCTTACTACTATATCACTTGTAAATATTTTATGCAAAATACAGCCTTCTTCTTTTTTTTGTTGATATAAAATAAATATATTTACTGTGTGCCCGTTCACGACGTCTGAGACATCCACGTTTTCCACAAGCGATTGTGGAAGATCGATGGGCGAAATACCCGCCACATCCATGGAAATGGACGTTACGCGATAAAACAGTCCAAGTACCATATCGTTTGGGTGATAGCAATTGGTTATCGTTCCTATTTAAAAAATTTTTGATGGCTTCGTTATCTCTATGAAGTCACGTGCTACCTGCAACTACGCTACAGGCCTTAAACCACGTGGACGGATCTATCGGCACTGGAGCGGCCATTAGATAGACGTTTTCGATGATACCCCGAAAAGGTTTCTGTGGGAATACAATTATAAAAATAACGTTTTTTAGCGATTCGCTTTGCTATAAAAAAATATAATATCGCTTGTTATTTACGAACAAATAACGTATAATTAAAAACTTCTACACCTTCCGGCTAGCAAGATCAAGCAACGCGAAAAAAATAGCACGTGCACCGAAACTGTGGCCAATTAGATTTACAGGCCGTTGCCCTTTTGTCGTATTATAGGAGAGGTGAGCAACCAATGTTTATCACATAAAGAAACTGTTGACCGTATTTCCTTTCTACAAGAGCATCTGCTAATACCGCGCCTGCTTTTTTTGCTCTGGACATCGCTCTTCATTTAAAGAGCAATGAGCATTGGTGAGATTTATAGACTTGGGATCAGCAGATGCCTGCTCCAGGGATTATCAATGGCTAGTTTTAAGTCCATCAGGGACATAGGCAGCGCCACAGCTGCAAGGAGAGCTGCTAGAGATGTTTGTGCGATAATCTACCCATTCACAGAGGAGGGTGAAAAGAGGAAAAAAGCTGAATGGCTGCATTATGAGTACTCGTTTCGCCACAAAAGTTGTTCCCATGTTGACTGCGATGTCCTTAATCGACTTGGTGACGTTTCGAAGATCTTCTCTTTCCCATATAATTACGTATCGCTCGCTAAAGTCGTCTAAGGAACTTTTTTTTAAATACCAATTCAAACATATACTTTAAAAAAAGGTATTTTATAAACCCCCATTGATCCTCAAAGTCATAATCTTCACTAATCCATCCAGAAACTGACACAAGCACACTCAAAGATCCCGGATTTTTCTTATACAATAATATATTTTAAAAACTAAAGAAAAATAAGTCTTAGGAACATACCGCTACACATTTAAACTCAAACTCCTGCAAATCTGCCACTCGGTTGGACCTGCAATTATATGACTATAACGCCTTCGGGGCTCAGTACTGCGGCCACTTACATGGCGCTACCAGCCAGACCCATTCCTGCTCCCGCGAATAATGTGGTTGTTAGTGCCACGCCTCCGGCAGTCGCTAAAAACGTTCCTGCCGATGCACCTAAAATAACGCCGGCCCCGGCGGCGACTAGCGGTGCTGCCAGTCCTCCTGTGACTCCTATTGCCCATTTATGAGCTTTCTCCAGCACAAAATAATTAAAAATGAACCAATTAAAACTCCGCCACCAACTGCAGCTGCACCAATCAAAGCGTATTTTTTAATTTTGCCTCTTTCTTGTAGCTTTTCTCTTTCCTCTTTCTGTGCCTGGACAAGCACGTCGTCTTGTTTGCTGTCTCGTTCGAGGATAAATACTCCCAGTTGTGACTCAAAGGCGAGCGCGTTAAACCTGTTATTTGTAGTTAGCGAGAAAAACTTTTATAGGGTTCTACATTTATTAAAGTAGGAAACACACGCTTAAATATAAACACTTATGTTATCTACTAACTAGGCATATAAACATTTATATACGCCCTGATTTATTTATGTTCTATACCAATTACTTTAACGCTATAAATTCAATTTTATAACATATTTTGGTTTAGAATTTTCAAAAGAAATGTTTCCTTTTTAACGTTCTTAATAAATACCTATAAGTTAGAGCTGTAAAGTAAATTTTGAGACTTCTTTTTATTTCTTAATTTACTTTTTTAAGTTACTAATAAAAGTTTATGTAAGACTATTATAATTTCAACTTTACTAAGAAAAAAGTTTGTTCTTATGCACAAGCGAACCAATTCAAATGAGGCCTAAAAAGGCTGACCATTTTCCTATACAGCGCTCTATACCGGCTGTCGTAGACTCCTTTATAGATACAAAAAAAAGGTGACGCCTGTTATAATAGTGGGAGCTCCCAACTCTACTCTAAAGCCTTTCCAGAATACCTAAACTTATAGCAGTAATAAGTAAATCCTGCATAAGAATCCAAAAAATAAATGTTATATTTTCGTTATCAGCAGGCCCTTCTTTTTTATCGCTGATTGTTTCTTCTTCGGGCTTAGTCGCTTCGGTTGGAAAATCTTTATTAACCTGATCTTCTGAAGTTTTTTTAGAAACTTTTTCTTGTTCATCTTGTAAACTCGACGATTTGTCGGGTAGATCAAAATTATTAAGGTAACTATCCAGTAGCGCAGCAATGTAGTTTTCAGAGGGGAGTGTGACGCAGGATTCAGGATCTTTTAAGGCCTAATTTCGTTAATTATTTTTAGAAAGGGTATAGCCAATTTAATATGTTCCAATAACTAAATAGTAGTTACTTGAAAAATTTACAACACTACTTTTTATAATTTAAAAGTATTAGTAACATTTTTCTTTAAAAAAAGCTTTAATTGAATAAGCCTTTTTTTACATACTTTTTTGTTTAGTATAATCAAATAAAGAGATGAAAAAAATAAAATTAAAGGAAAACTATAAAAATAATAGGAAACTTATACATTTAGATTATTACTTTTAATATTATAATAATAGTAAGAATTAAAAATGTTAAAAAAAATTAATTTTGGAAAATGATTAAAAAATTATAATGAGGGAAAGGAAATAAAAAATTTAATGATTTCATATTATATTTTGTATATAGTTTGGCAGGAGCATACAAGAAAGCGAGTGGACAGTGGGATGGAATGGTGGGAAATAATACTTTCAATCATCTCTTTAAATTTTTGTATTAAACTTTTATTACAAAATTTTATTTTATGCATCACGAATTTAAATATTTCCGGTGATTGAAAGGTTTCTTTTTAAGAGTTTTTAGTATCAAGTAGCATGTGTGCGGAGTAAAACTTTTCTTAGTACTCAGATTTAGATGTTAACGTTATTCTTTTATTTAAATATATTTTTATTATTATTCTTAAATAGTATTTTAATAAGAAATATAATAAAAACAGAACAATTTATTTCAATATTATAATTATAATCGGCAATAAAACTTAACATGTTATAATTTTAATAAAAAGCAATACTAAAAAAAATTGTGCCAAAGCACAAACTAATCATAACGCCGTAATTTTGGCGAACAGACCTATGAAAGCTTATTATTAACACCAGCTTTCTACAAATATGGAAATAATTGGGAGCTATATATAGAAACGGAATCAATTTATTAAATCGCAAGATTATTTCCTATAAAGAAAAAACAAAGCAAGTTCTACCATATTTTATATGAATTTTACAAAATAAAATAGTCAAATTATAAGTGTTAAAATAAATTTTATATTATAAAGAATCAATAAAGTTTTAAAAAATATATAATATCACATTTTTTAATGTTAAAAAAACAAAGTGGATAATTATGAAGTATAACTTTCGTTGCCGATATAATTAAATTTTTAAAAATTTACATAAGTTTAAAATGTTTATTATTTTTTATTATATAAATTTGTAAGTATAAATTGATATTTATATTTTTATTATTTATATTAGTGAAAGTAATTTATCAATTTATAAAAAAAAAGTACTTCTCTCAAAGTCGTTGAGTAAATTTTTATTACTGACTCAGTTTCTGCTCCAGGAAGTTCCACTCTTACGCACAAATTTTGAAGAAATTCCAAGTAGATCTTCAAAGTTATATGGAAATTAAATAATTTTGAACTTTTATAAAATAAATTTACATTCAAATTATTTGATTCCAACAAAAAAAAATTATTTTAAGTACTTAAAATTTTTAATATTATATATATTTAATATTTACGTTGCAAAGATCAAGTGATATATTTTTCAAAATTTAAAACTACATTAAAAGTTTTAAGTCCTAACTATTCTCTTCTTAACTATGAAGATTATTAGTAACTGTTAAAGAAATTGTTATATATATTTTTTTAACTTAAATATTTAAGATTTTAAAAATTAATAGAAATAGAGTAATCATAGTAAAAATAATAAAATTAATAAAAATATTTTTCTTAATTTAATAACATGGTTAACAATTTTTTATATAAATTGTGAAGTACTGTAGATAACTTCATCTATATTATAATAAAAGTCTTTTTATTATTTAGTTACTCTTAGAAGTTATTTTTTAAAATATGCTTTTAAATTTATTATTATTATACCTTAAAGATTACACGTAAACTCGTTTTACAAAATATGAAGTATCCTAAAATTTTAAATTATTTATATTTACTGGTTTTTTCATATTGCATTTAAAGTAAGTATTATAGCTATTATACAATAAAAAGGAATTTCTTATGCTCAATAACTTAAGAGTTTATAGATTTTAACACTTTAAGTTTATATAAAAATTTTTTATATACAGATATTAGACTAAAACTTTTTAGATGTAAAAGGGTAATGTCTAAACTAAAGCTTAAAACTTTTAACAGTACATAATTAGACAATAAAAATATCGTAAGCTATAAAGTGAATTATTGAATGGGATAAAAAAAATAAACACTTCTTCATCTGTTTTAAAATATAAAACTTCGGCTGCTTTTACATCCTCCTTTTCTGAGTTTAATGGAAATTGGTTTTTTTCTTCTAAATTTACATCTTCTTCAGTGTGTTCATCGGCTATATTTGTTGTAGTAAATTTCTCATTTTATAAAATTATGAAAAATTTTACGGGTGGAACCTTCTTCTTGCTCCTTAGCCTTCACATACTCTTTCTCATCAGAACGAAATCTGACCCACGTAAACTTTTTGTGGTGTTTACTAAGGTCTATGTGTCTCCTGCTACAAAGGTTGATGCATATACTCGCAACTAAGTTAACATACAGAAACCTATTTAAGAAATAAAAAAAATTAAATCAATTAATTGCATTATGTCATTTCGGTATTTAAATGAATTCAAACCTTTCTTCTTTACTTAATGTTTTTATTCCATTTGTTAATAATTCATCTAAAATTTTCCGGTTTTTTAAAGCTACTTGGCTTTTATTTTCTTTTTCCCTACTAAAAAGCTGACTCATATTTAAAAACAATTTTTTTTTGTGAATATGTTTGTTAAATTTAAAAAGTTTTTATATAAAAAGGTTAAAGCGAGAACTTTTAAAGCTCCGACTTTGGTAAGTTTGTTTCGTGCCTTCTTAAAGTTCATTGGCTAATAATGGTTCCATAAATGGATATGTAAAATTATTGTCAATATTGCTTAAGCGATTTCGACGTTTTGGGTTTTTTACAGAATGTGATGTTTTCGATGTTGAAGTTAAGAGTTTAATTTTTGTACAAAAGCAAAGTTTCCTTTATTAAATAAAAAATTAAGGTTATCCAGGGTTGTAAAAAATCATAGTTTCACCCTTTTAACTTTGAGCGTAAACAAAGGATTCCTCATTTTAGTTATATATCGTTTAAATTTCGTTATAAGGTTTGAAAATAATGAAATAAACAAAAGAAAAGAAACTTTTAAAAAAAAAGACTAATTGAGTACGAATTAGTAAAAGTAAAAATTTCTTGTAAGTATGTGCTGTTTACCTATAGTACTATTTCTTTTTTTTCGGAAATTATTCTCCACAAACGTCGTAAAACTAGAAAAAAAGGTTAATTTATACAAAAAAGTATCGATGGAAAAAGCAATATAGCAAACGTAAATTTAGTTTGGGCTATGGGAGCTTAGCTGTTTATTGAAATTAGTATTAGTTTCTGTCTGTTATAAATTTTTAGATTAATTTTATTGATCAAAAAATTGTACTGATGCAATACAACTTAATCTTGTTGCTGTATCTTTTCAAGAAATAATCCTTTTTAATTCGTTTATATATAATCCGACTGTAAAAGTTTCGTTAAGCCACAAATGTGAAGGTCGAAACAACATAAAGATTTTTTCATTTAACAAATATTCATCTAAAAAGGGCTCTTTAATTATTTCTTATATAACTTTAAAGTCTTTTCTAGAAACTTTCAATAAAGTAGCTTTTTGATAAATTTAAAATATATTATAGTAAAATTTTATTCCTCTTTTTGAACAATATTGACTTCACCCAAACGTTTTATAGTAATGAAAAAAAAACTTTCTCAATTATTCTTGGGTCAAACTATTTACTGAACTTTTTCGGGTGTTTACCAAGTGGGTAAAAAAATAGTTTGCTGACTAGAGCTTTTCGAATCTTTTGATTTTATGTCTAAAATGGTTCTGAATCCTACAAGGAAACTATTAAAATTTTAATAAACACTTTAAAAATTCTCGTTCAGCAAGTAAAAAAAGAAACCTTTTCAGATTTCATGCCGTTTAAAGGTTGCAGGGGAAGAGTTATGTGCAAATATTTAAATATACGTACACTGCCCTTCTAGTGTAACTTATTTTTACGAAAACCTTTTAATTGTCTGCTTTTGTTAAACCGCTTTACTTTATCTAATACTTTTTTTAACTTTTTACCCTTTTTAACATATTTTTTTATATATATTTAAAACTTATTTTCTTATAGTGTTTATTATATTTCAGAGTATTAATATTTCTTAAATATTTTTATTATCTGCTTTTATATATAGGACGTCCTCTACCTTTTAATATATATATAAATTTTTTTTATAATAGTGTTTATATTTTTAAAGTATTTAATATACTTTAAAATTATACATATTTTTATTATCTGCTTTTCTTATATTGCTTTACTTTATGGAACGTATTCTCTATATTTTTAACAAAACTTTTTTATAATTCAAAATTCTAACTATTTTATCATCAGTTTTTTTTATTTCGCTTTACTTTATAGAACGCCCTCTACAAAATTTTAAATATATTTCATTCATATATATTAAATATATTTTTATTATAACAATAAATATTATATTTTTAGAGTATTTGAGGTCCCTTGAATTTATATATATTATTTGCTTTGTTTAATTTTCACTTTACTTTATAGAACGTTCTTTACATCATATTATTCATATTAATTTTTATATATTAACATTTTTTCTTTAATATTTTTTGAACATCCCTTAAAGTTAAATATAATATTGTTTTTAATTTTGGGTTGTTGGCTTTACTTTACTTTATTAATTAATATTATCAACATTTTTTATAATTCATTTCAAATTATTTTATATGTAAAATTATAAGCTTTTAACTGGATGTATCTTTCCTTAGATTTTATTTGAAAGAAAACTGATTTTTTATTATGGAAAAGGAAAATGTTAATTTTGTTGATCATTTTATTTTTTTTGTTTTTTTAATTTTTTATCCAGTCAGTGTTAAGAGCGTCCACTCCAGTAAAGACTAAATTGCTTTCCACTCCGTTAAGTGAAAGAAAAAATATCCAACCTTTTTTAATTTATAAAGATGGTAGCCTTAAAAAAATTGTTTTTCCGATATTAAAAGATTTCCTTGTTCTCAATAGATTTGATAATAATTTAATTTTTAATTATTATTTTATTTAAGCTCGCAAAAGTTTAAATTTTGAAGCCTCTCGACGACTTTCCTCTTATGATAAACCACTTTCCTCTTTTAAAAATGATTATGATTTCCAAGAACAAAATTTACAACTTACTAAAGAGAACTTTGAAGGTTTCTTTTTATGATAAAAATTTCATTTTTTTTCTAAATTTTTTGTAAAGAGTTCTCAAGTTTAAAAAAGGCTTTAGAGCGTAGCAAGCAAGGTTACTTGGAATTCTCTACATTTTTTTATTATATATTTTTATTTTATGAATTAAAATTAGAAAATAATTTACTTGAAGAAAAACTTTCTTGTTTAGCAAAAGAAAATTTTCTTTTTAAAAATGAAAATTATAAACTTAAAAATGATATTTCCGGGATGCTTTTGGAAAAATTACAAATTGAAAATGAAAGTCAAAAATTGAAGAGACAAGATCTTTTATTTAAAAATAAAGATGACGTTCACTTGATGCTGGTAAATTTAAAGCAACAATTGGCTCTCGCAAAAGAACAAATCTCTCAAAAACGAAGTAAAATTTGTGAAGATGAAAAAAAAATCGAGTCGCTCAACCAACGCGAAGCCGATTTACTACTGCAATTAGCCAATAGCAAAAGCGAATTTGGTTATATATAATTTTTAATTTTATTAATTGTTAGTGGAGAAAATGATTTCTTTTAAATTTGAAACGTGAAATTTAAATTCTTTTTTAAAAACACAAAAATATTTTATTTTATAATAATTTCGTATTTTTCTTATTTGTGATGTTATTGTGGGTGAGAATCTTCTTTATATAAATATAAAATTTAAAAAAATAAATTTTATTTAATTTTTTTTTATATATCAGAATTTTTTTAAAAAAATTATATTATAAACTTACTTTTTGCTTCTATTATAAGAAGTAAAAGGCTTATAATCACTGAACTTTTTTTTTTATAATTTTATTTTAAAAGTGTACGGTAATTTAACTTTAAATTTATATATAAATATTTAAAAATTTTAAATAGTAAATCACTAATTTCAATTTTTTGCTGTTTCTGTATTGCGTATAAACTTTTTTAATAGTTGATCATTTAAAAAATTTTTATTATTTATTATTATTTTTTCTTTTTTTTTGTTAAAATTTTATCACAATAAAAAAGTTTGAAACTATTCAACAAAATTTATTTTGGTGTGACGACTTTTTTAATACAGAATTATAATAATACTAGTAACAAATAAATAAATAAAACAAATTTTATTTTTACAAAAGTTTTATATCAATAATATTATAAAGAATTTTATATAATTTAAAAAAAAGGTTAAAAAAGATTTTATAATTATTAAATAAAACGAAAAATTTTCTATTAAAAAATTTTTAAAAACTTATATACTAATTCTATAAAATTTATTTTCGTATATGAATTTTTTTTTAGTTAATAATCTTAAAAAATAGTAAAAAAAGATTTTATATATATAAAACAAAATTTTTTTTTATAAACTTTTTAGAAACTTTTTTTTTTTATTATTATTTTTATAAAAAACTTTTCTACTAATTAAAAGTAAATTTCAATATTAACAAAATAATTCTGAAAATCTCAAAAAAATAAAAAAAAAAGATTTTATATAAAATATATAAAACATAACGACTTTCATAAACTAAAAAAACTTTTGTATAAAAAAATAAAATTAAAACTTATTACAATAAATTAAAAAAAATAAATACAAAAAAAATTGAAGCTTTTAATAAACTTTAAAAATTATTAGGCTTTAATAATTAATAAAAAAAATTAAAATAATATTTCGTATAATAAAAGAAAATAAAACTTTTAATTATAAACTTTAAGTACAAAGAAAGAGATTTATAAGAACATTATTTTTTTTTATTAAATAAAATTAGACTGTTTTTACAATTAATTAAAAAGTACTGTAAAGAATAAAATAAAACTTTTATTAGTAAACTTAAAAAGGTAAAACAAAAAAAAGATTTATAATAAATTTAGATTTATTTTTTTTTTCAGTAAAATAATTATTTTTATAACTGATAAGAAAAAATAATAAAAGTTTTCATAATAAAATAAAAAACTTTTTTCAGATTATTAAAAAATAAATAAAAATATTTTTAGAGTAAACTTAAAAAAACAATCTCTAAAAAATTTTAATAATTAACAACTAAATAATAAATTTGTTTTATAAAGAAAAAAATAAAACTTCTTACAGAAAACAGAAAAATTGAGTCAAAAGAGAAACTTTTATAATAAGTTTAAAAATTTTATAAATTTTTTTTTTAAGAATTGATAAAAAATAATAAAAATTAGTTTATAGTAAACCGTAAAAAAATTTAAATACGAGATTTAATAATTTATTAATATTTTGTTTTATATTTTAATAAATAAATAACCAAATAAATAAATAAATATTTTGTTTACATAAATAATATAAAAACTTCTTAAAGTAAACCAAATAAAAACTTCAAGAGATATTTCATAATTAATTTTTAAAATTTAGATATTTTTTTTAAAAATGAATAAATAAATAAGTTTTCTTATAAAAAAAAATAAAATAAAAACATTTTATAGTAAACTTACAAGATTACGCCAAAAAAGATGTTATATAAAGATTTATAAATTTTCTTTTTAAAAATATTTTTTTTATAACTAATAAAAAAATAAATAATAACTTTTTTATAGTGATTTAATATAAAATATTATTTTTATAATAAAAACTTTAAAAAAAAAATTGATTATATTTTTTATGTTAATATATAATAAATAAAATATTTTTAATGAATAATAAAATAAAATTTAATATTTTTATATTAAAAATTTAAAAATAATTTATTATCAAAAAAAAATATATTTTTTTATACTAAAAACTTTAAAAAATATATTTAAATATATTTTTTATACAAAAGATTTTTTAAATAATATGAAATTTACTTATAAAAACTTTTTTTTAATTATTATTATTACAAACAAAATTTTAAAAATAAATTATTGTTATTATAAAATTTACTTATAGAAAAGTTGATAGAATAATTATTATTTATTTATTATTATTACTATAATGAAGAAAAGTTATAAAATATTTTTTATATTTATAGTATTATTATTTATATTTTTAAAATTTTTTAAAGATTTACTTTTTTACTTTTATTTTTTATTAATAATTCGCTAAATATTATTTTTCTCATATTTATTATATATTTTAAAAAACTGTTATTATTATATTTATTATTATTTTTATTATTATAAAAATAGTTTTTTAATATTTTGCTCAACTTATTTGAAACTTTTATAGAAAAATACGTTGAAGATCACGAAATTCGCTGCGAATATAGAAAAAAAACTTTTCAGCTTCAAGAAAAACTTTTATTTCTTCAAAAAGAAGTTTTTTTTTATTGTTTTTTTAAAAATAATAATAAGTAAAAAACAAATTTTATTTTCATTATAAAAATTTTAATAAAAAGTAAAAGAGTATAAAAGTATTAATATAATATTTTATAAATTTGTATTAATAATAAGTAAAAACAATAAAAGTTATATATATAATTAATATATTCTACAAAAAAGTAAAAATAATACTATAATATCTTAAATATTCTGCTAATAATAACAAGAAAAATAAGAAAAGTTATATTTTTTAGTATAATAATTCTAACAATATGTAATTAATAAAAATAAAAGGGGTTAAGAAAATTTGTTTATTATATATAATAATTTTAATAAAAAGTAAAAGTAATAGTAAAGTTTTTGTATTTTCATAAAAAGTAAATAAATATTATAAAAAATAATAATAATCTAAATTTTATGCATAAAAAGTAAAAAAAAATTTCTTTTAACTACTTTATAACAATTATTATTATTAAAAGTTCTATTACTTATTTTAAATATTTTATATGAAAAGTTTTTTATCTGATTGAAAAAATAAGGGAAAGTAAATTTTTGATTATTAATAGTAAAACTATTAAAGATTTTATTAAGATTTTTTTTGGAAAATAGTAAAAATATGAAAAGTTTTTATTCTTCTTTTAAAAAAGTAATAATAAGTAAACCGATTGTAGTAAATATAAAATAATATTCATTTATTTTTGATAATAGTAAAAGGTAAAATAGTTTTTATTATTAATAGTAAACTTATCGAAGAGTTTTTTAATATTAAAAAAAAAGTAGAAATTAGTAAAAATATAAAAAGAATTTATTATATTTTATAAAAAATAATACTATAAAGTAAATAATAGTAATAAATTTAAAAATTATTTCTTATGTTATATTTAATACTAGTAAATAGTAAAATTATTGAATTTTTTTTAATATTTATAAAAAATAATAATAAGTAAAAAAGTAGTGATAACTATAAAATGCTATTTATTTATTTATTTTAATAATATTAAAAAGTAAAATTCTTTTTATTATTAATTTTAAACCATTCAGCGTTTGTGAATAATATAAAAAAAAAGTAAAAAGGTAGTAAAAAATACAAAAAGTTTTTTATTCCATTTTAAAAAAACTTATACTAAAAAGTAAAAAATAATAATAAAAATGGTAAACTTTACTATATTTTTATAAAAAATAAAATAGTTTTTAGTATGAATAAGTAATTAAAAAGTATTTATCTCATTAAAAATTATATTCAAAGGTAAAAAAAAAAGTTTTTAATTTTTTTTTGAATTGAGAAAGTTTCTTCCTTCGAATATATAATAATAATAATAAAAAATAAAAATTGAGATTTTTTTATTTGTTATATAAAAAATATGATACATAATATAAAACTGAATTTTTATATAATAAATATAGTATTGAAAAGTTTTTTATTTAATAATTTAACAATAATAAAAAGTAAAACTAAATACTCTTTATGCAATATAAGAATATTAAAAGTTTTTTATTTTAATAATAAAACAATTATAAAAAGTAACTCTAGTTTTTTTTATATTAAATAAGTAATAATAATGGAAAGTATATTTATATAAAAGTTATTTCAATAGTAAAAAGTAAAACTGAAGAGCTTATTTTTTTAATTTAAAAGTTGTTATTATATATTATAATATTTTTTATTAATAATTATTATTTATTTACCATTATTATCTATTCTTTATAGCTTTTAAATATTTTTTTTACTAATCATTTTTACTTTTTGTACTTTTTATGTTTTATATATTAAAAGTTTTTCTTTATTGTTCTTATCAATTTGTTTCCTATATTTTTCTTATTTATTATTATTATTAAATCAATTTTTATTCTATTTTTATTTATATATTATTATTCTTGATATGTTTCGGTATTTATATAATATTTATTATTATTAATTATTTTTTAAAGCTTTAAGATAATATTCCTTTTTTTTTATTAATATATTTATATTATTTTTATATATATTAAAAGCTATTATTAATTATTAATAATACCTTTTTTAAGTTTATTATAAATTATTAATAAACTTTTTTACATTTTTAAGTATTATTATGACTTTTATTGCTAGAAAAGTTTATTTATACTATAGTAATTTTTTTATATTTAATTTTTCTTTATATTTTTAAGTTTTATTATTATTATTATTATTATTTTTATAAAAAAGTTTAAGAACAGTATTATATAATTTTATTTATTTTTTGTATATTTTAAGTATTATTTTTACTATTATTTAACTATTATTCTTAAACTTTTTATTTTTATTATAGTACTGTTATCTATTCTTTTTTTCTAGTTAAATTTTTATTATTTTTACTTTTTAACATATTTTGAAGTATTTTATTTATTATTATCATAATTTATTATTATTTATTTTATTATTTTATCTAGTAAATATTTGAAAAGTATTATTATTATATTTTCTATAAAACTTTTATATATAAAAATTTTTTATTAGACTTTTTATTAATGTTTTTGATACTATTCTTTTACTATTTTTATTATTTTATAATAATAGTAATAATAACATTTACTAGTTGTTATATGTTTATATGTTTATAATATAAAAGTTTTATATTGATGCTTTTTTATAAACCTTTTGTATTATTATTATTTACATTTATGAAATATTTCATTTATTATTATTCATTTCATAAAATAATTTTTCATATTATTATATTATTTATTTTTTCGAAATATTTTTATAAATTTTTATTTATGATTATGAATTTTATTATTGTTTTTCATTTTTTATTGAAATAATTTATTTAATAATAGTTATTATTAATTTTTATGCAGTATTATTTTTATTTTTCTTATTATTATGATAAGCAATATTTTTTTATAATTATTATATTTATGAAATATCGTTTTTATTTTTTTTCGGAATATTATATTTATTATTATTATTAATTTTTGTTATTATTCTAGTGAAATATTTTATTTACTGTTTTATTATTATTTATTTTTGTAAAATATAATTACTAACTTCTATAAGATGTTTTATTTATTATTATTATTATTATAAATTTCTATAAACATATTCATTTCCACGTTAATATTAATAAAGTATATATATTATCACTATTAAGAATGAAATGAAAACTCAGACTTTATTAGTAGAACTTGAAAAGTATAAAAGTATTGAAAAAGAACTAAAAGAAAAGGTTTATGTTTATTTTATATATTATTAATAAAAGCAAAAAAAACGTTTATAATAATAATAAGAAAATAATTTTAAAAAAATATTAATAAATATTAATAATAAGTAAAAGTATATTTAAAATTTTTATAAAAAAATAAAAAAAACAAAAAATATAACTAAAGATAATTAATAGTAAAAGTTTTCTTTTTAATATTATTAAAATAATAATAAGCTTCAATAATATATAAAAAATAAAAGCAAAAAGTTTTTTTTATTTTTGTGTTATTATTAATAGTAATAATAATAATAAATTATATATAAAAGTAAATAAAAATAAATAGTTTTTAATATTTTTTATAATTATAATAAATAATATATAAAAAATTATAAAGAAAAAACTTAAAAAAAAATAGAAAAGTAAATAATTATAAAAAGTTTTCATATTTTTTTTTATAATTAATGAAAGAAATTTTTATTATTATATATTTTTTGTATAATAATATTATTTTACTTTTATATATTATTATTATTATTGTTTTATATTTTTCATTTTTTTTCTATGAATTTCTAAATTGAATAAAACTTTTTTTTTAGTATTATTTGTAAGGATTATTATTTTTTTACGCACCATTTGACTTGCTTCTCACAATATTTATATATATTTACTTATTTTACTTCAATATTTTCTTATAAATAAATATAAATACTTTTTTTTTCCTATTATTTAATAATACGTATAAGCAAAAATAATAATTAAGTATCAAAAAAAAATAAAAATTAGTTTTTATATTTTTTGGTTTGTAAAAAAAAGTTTATACTAAATTTACTTTTAATTACCTTTTTTATATAGAAATAATAAAAGTTTATGAATAATATTATTTATTTTATATATATATATATAAAAAAGAAAAAAAAAGTTTTATTGTATATGGTATAAACTTTTTTATAATATATATACAATTTATATAAATACTTAATATAAAATAAAATAAAACCTTTCTGAAAGTATAAAAAGTGGTTTGTGTTGTATAATTAAAAAAGTAAAAAGTTTTGTTTTTTTATGATTAAAAATAATAAAAATTTTTAAAAATATGTAAAATATAAAAAATAAATAAAAAATATAAACTTTTTTTTATAAATAAATATAATAAAAACAAAAATATACAAAATATTAAAGAAAAATAGAAAAGTTTATAATATAATAAAAAAGTAAAACTTTTTTTTCTAATAAAAACAATAAAAAGTGTACAAAAAAATATTTCGAAGGAGGAAAAAATTTATTTTATGAAAAAAAATATATTTAAAAACTTTTTTATAGTTTATCAAAAATTTATTATTTTTAATATTAAGTAAAATAAAATAAAGTAAATAATTTTATATATTAAAAACCTTTTATAGTTAATATATTAATAAAGTAAAAGTGGAGAAGGTTATAAAAAAATTCTTAAAACTTTTCTATCGCTTCTAAAAGTTTATTTTTAAATTTAATGTTTAAAAAAAATAATAAAAGTGAAGAAGTTTGTTATATAAAAAATATAAACTTTTCTATTGTTTTTTAAAAAAATCTTAAAATGCTAAATAAAAAAAAGCTTTTTATAAGCGAAGCAGTTTATTTTATATAATTATATAAAACGTTTTATACGTTATAAAAAATATTTTATATTTGTAGTAAAAAGATAAAAAACGTCTGCTTTTTAGTGTTTTATTATAGTAAAATATAAGAAATATTTAGAAAGTAAAAAGTTTTTATACAAAAGATTACCAGAAGTAAGAAGTTTATATAAAAATACTCCTTAAAAGTAAAATGTTTTTATATAAAAATATTTCTAACTTTCACGTGGTAACCACGTGTGTAACAAAGAATTTGGCAGATGATTGGAGGAAGCAAGAATGTTACAAAGAATTCATTAAATTATTAAAAACTTGGTTTTATTATTATTAGTGAAAAATTGGCGTGTTAGGCTTTTATTGGTTTATTAGAAATTCTTTAATACTTTTTGTTGTGTTTTGTGATATAAAAATTGAAAAAAAAAGTTTTTTAATATTTTGGTTATAAAAATTTTCATATTTTTAATAAATTTGAAATAAAAATAATATAGAAATAATATATTCTTTTTTAGAAGCAAAAATGTTTAAAACAATAAAAAAAAACTTTTATACTTATTTTAGTATGGAAATGTAAAACTTTTTGATAGAAAAGTATTTAACTATAATTTTGTCATAAAAATTTTAATAAAAAGTTTAAGAAAATATATAAAAGTCAATAAAAAAGTTTTTATAATAATTTTATATAACAATGAACGTTATAAAATATATTTTAATAATTTTTTTAAGAAAAAAAAAAGTAAAATAATTAAGAAACTTTAAGTAAAAATATATTTTTACAAGAAAATATAAAAAAAACTTTTTAATATTTTTTTTATAGTAATAATTATAATAATAATAGTGATAATAATAATAATAATAATAATAATTAATATATATAGCTTGAAAATTTGGAGCGCCGATTCGCTACTATTCAAGAAGAAAAAGAATCACTGGAGTATCGTCTGAGCCAATCATTAGCAGAAGCATCACGTTTTCATAATGAAGTTATTATTATTATTTTATTATCATTATTATTATTATTATAAATATTATAACTGTACTGTTTTGCAAATTTTTATAATTTATAGAAAAATTATTATTATTAAAAATAATATTTTATAAGAAATGAAAAACATTATTATTATTATAAATACTAATAAAAAAAACTTTTTATAATAATAGTAATTATTATACTTTTTAAAATTATATAAAGAAAAATAATACTTATATTTCTTGTATATAAATAAACACTATAAAACTTTTATTATTATTATTATTACACTTTAAAAAGTAATTAAGAAAATAAATACTTTTACATAGTCTGTATAATAAAAAAAACTATTTATAAAACTATTATTATTATTATTATTATTCACTTTTCAAAATATAAACAGAATAATAACTTTTATGGTATATAAATAAAGAATCCTTAACAATCTATTTGTATTATAGATATAATAAATAACTTTTAAACTTTTTATAAAACTTTTATTATTATTTACTTTTTAGCATAACTTATAGAGTTTATGTCTTTATTATTATTATTTTCAAGTATTTTTCTTTTTTATAAATATTAAAGTTTATTTTTTTATGGTTTTCTATATTTTGCTTTTTATAAATTCTGAAGTTTATTAATATTATTTTTTTATAAAAATATATTGTATGTAAAGAACTTTTATTTACTTTAACTTTTTTAGTATATTTATCAATTTTTTCTTCACCATTTCTTCCTATTTTTTATGGCTAATGATATTTTTTTTTATATATGTATTTACTGCTTACTATTATTTTATATATATATTTTTTCCTTATTTATATTTTTATTATATATATATTTCTATTTTTTAAATATTTTTTAATTATTATTATTTTTATGTACATTTGGTTCTTTTTACTTGTATATATTTATTACTTATAGATATATTGATTATATTTACAAATTTTTTTCTTATTAAAATATTTATAATATTTACTTTACTTATTATTTTTTAAACGTACATATATATTACTTATTATTATTATAAATAGATATATGTATTATTATATATATTTTGCTTATTATCGTTGTTATGTATATTCTATTTTTCATACTACTTTATAATAACTTTTTTATTTTTTGGTTATTATTATTTTACTTTATAATTATTATTTTTATAAATATATTTTTTAACTTATTGTTATTTTTATATAAGTTTTTTGCTTGTTATTTATGTTATATAGTAATTTTTTTATTTTTAATACTTATTATTATTCAAATATTTAATTTTCTATATTATATATTTAACTTTTCTCATTATTTTAATGTATAATTTATATTATTATTTTTATTAATATATTTATATACAATTTTACTTATTATATTTCATATTTTTTGCTTATTATTATTTTTATTAATATATTTTTTACTTTTTGTTATCAATTTTTTTAAATAAAAGCTAAACGAAGCGAATGAAGAACGGTTGATGCTCCAAACTGAGAATCGCGTGCTTCAACATTCGCACTGCATCGATAATAATTCGCTGGAAAATTTGCGCGGAGGCCTTTCTAAAATCATTGAAGCTCTACGGTTTCTTCAAAAAGAAGAACTTTCAGAAGTTTTTTTACTGAAAGTTTATTCTTATTATTATTATGTTTACTATATTTTGTATTAAAAAGAACATAAATTCTTATTATTTTTATTTTTATTATCTGAAGTTAAAGTAAAAAATTTTTATTTATTATTATTATTATTATATAATATTCATTCCTTTTACATTTATATATTTTTTACTGAAAAATTCAGAATAAATCTTTTCTTATTATTATTTTATTAATATTTAACATATACGCTTTTTATATATTTTTTAAAAAAGTTTAAAACTTTTATTCTATTATTACTTATTTTATGTTAAAACTCTGCATATAAAGTTTTTGTTTTATAATTTTTTTACTTTCTATTATATTTTTATAAAAAACTATTATTATTATTTAATAAAAATCAGCAAAATCAGCATAAACGTTTATTATAATGTTTTTACTTTTTGTACATTATTAAACTTTTTATTATTATTATTATAGTTATTATTATTTTATTACTTTTTATATATAATTAAACCTTTTAAGCATTTCAAATTTTATATCATATTAATAGTTTTAAAGTGTATAAACTTTTATTATTACTATTTTATTCTTTATATATATTTTATACTTTTTATTATAAACGTTTACTATTATTATCAATATAATAAGAGTCAGCATATAATATTATTTTATTTTTATACTTTTTTTTAATAAGTTTACTTATTAATTATTTATTATTTTTTAAAGTTATGTAAAAGTTTTATATTGTTTTTACTTTTTAATAAAAAAAAAGTACTTTTATTGTTAAGATTTTTTTATATTAAAAAATTATTAATTTTACTTTTTATTAAAAAATATACTAAAACTTTTATTTGTTTATTTAAAAAAAAATAGAATAAAAAAATTTTACTATAAACTATTATTATTATTTTTTAAGTAAAAAATATATTTTATATTTTTATTTATATGTTATTGAAATTTTATTATAAACTATTTATTATTATTTTTTTCACAAAAAATTTTTTTTAAAACACTTTTATTTATTTGTTTTTGAAATTTTATTATTAAAAAAAACGTTAATAAAACTTATAAATATTTTTTTGTAAAAAGAAAATTTTTTGAATAATTTTATTTATTTATTATAATAATTATATTTAATAAACTTTTTATTATTTTTTATAATGAAATAAAAAGTTTTTAAATAAAATTTCATTATTGAAAGGAAAATAAAACTTTAAATATACTTTTAATATTATTTTTAACCTAAAAAATAATATTTCAAAAGAAAATTTTAACTTATTTTATTATTTTACTATTAATAAAAATATAAACTTACATAAACATTTTATTTTGTAACTAACTAATAACTGTGAAGAAATCTTCATTTATTTTTTTATTAAACTACTATTATATACTACTTTATTGAAGTAAATTTTTAAACGTAATAATAATAATATGAATATTAATAATCTTCTAAGAAAGTGCGCCAATTTTATATACGGTGCCCAAAAAATTTTAACGGGTCCTAAAAAAATTTGGTAAATTTTTCATTAAAACTGACAAATTAACTGACGTTCGGGTACTTTATCACTTAATAGTTCAGTTTGTTTTTATATTTACCAAATAAACTTCAAACCGATGACTTCATAATAGTTTGGTAGTGTTTATTTCTTATCCGATAATCTGACCCCCTCCCGCTTTTCCATTTGATTGGCTAACTAGTTTCAACTCACTTATTATCCAATATAAACACGTTTATAAATATTTGAACTTTTTTATAATTTATAGTAAAAGACCTTTTTTAATTACTTCTCAACTTTTTATTTTTGACTTATTATGAATACTTATTATTATTTGTACTTTTAATCTTTTTATAGATTTATGAAGAACTCAAAACATCTTTGAAAAACGAAGAGAATGAGACTACTTACGAACTTTTTAAGTATGGATATATAAGTGTTTAAATATATATAAGAAAAAAAAAGGATTAGTTATTATTATTAATATTTTTTATATTATCATTAGAAATACTTTTGAAACTCTGCAAAGTTTTTGTAAGCACGTTAGCAATCTTTCTCAAAAGTTAACTTTTGTGACGGAAAACTTTAATAAAGAAAAAGAAATGAAAAATAACGAAATTGAAATTTTAAATTCTACTATTGAACGGTTCTTTTTATTATTATAAAAAATATTGTTTTGTTTTCATTTAATAATAAATAAATATGCAAAAAAAAATAATATATAAATAATAGTATATAATAATGAACAGCTAATAAAGAAATAATAATAATAAGTAAAAATGTTAATTATTTTCACATAAGTTTTTTAATAATACTAATAAATATATTAATTTTTAATAATAATATAAAAAAGAAAGGAAAAAGAAAAAGTAAATTATAAAAATTTATATTAATAAGCTAAAAAAATTAAAAATATTAAAATATTTTAAAAAAAGTTATTATTATTTATAAATATTATAATTATTAAGTATAAAAAAGTAAAAGTTTTTACGGAATACAATAAAAAATAAATAAAAATTTCATAAATAATACTAAAATATAATAAAAAACTGTTACTTTTTTTAAATATTATTTATAATAAATCTATAAAAAGTAAAACAAAGTAACTAGAAAAAAAATATATAATAATTGAAACTAAATATTATTTTTTATAAATATTTTAATAATAAAAAGTTACAACTTTAATAAATATATTACAATAAATACTAAAGAGTTAAAAAAAGTATAAATAATACTAATATTATTACCTCTTTTCTAAAGTTATAATAGGAAAAAGTAAAAGCTTTTAATATATATTATAAAATATAATTAATATTAGTAAATATAATTATTGTTATGTCATTTATAATAATGATAATAAAAAGTTAAAGTTTTGTAATTAATATATTAAAAATAATAATAAATAACCTTAAAAATAAAAAAATATAAAAAAAAATAAAAATAATTATTTTTTAATAAATTTTAATTATAAAATATAAAAATAAGTTTTAATAAATATTATAAATAGAAATAATAAAGTAATTTATCTAATAAAATAGTAAATAATAATTATTTTTCTAACGGTTATAATGGTACACTATATAAATAGTAAAAGTAATAAATATAATAATTATTATAGTAACAATAAATCTATAAAAGTATTTTTTATAATAATAATGAAAACTGAATTTACATAATAATCAGATTATGAAATGAAAAAGTTATATAATTATGATAGAAATGATTATAATTATTATATTTATTATATTTCTGTAATATAATAATAAGTAAAAAATTTTTATTTATGAATATTTAGTAAACTTTTTTATAATATAAAACCTTTAAAAATAAATTATTATTATTATTATAAAAAGTTTGAAAACGGAAAAAAATAATTTGTGGAAAGAGAATCAAAAACTTGAAGAAAATGTTATACGAATGGAGCACTTAAAAAAAGTTTATGAAAAAAGTAAACTGGAAATCGACGCCCTTCAAGTTATTATTATTATCATTATTATTTATAAATTTTTTTCTTTAGCAAAGTAACAAAAAGAAAATGTTTATAAAATAAAAAAATTATGAAGAACTAAAAATATTGATAAAACAATTTTTTTTTAAATACTATAAAAGTTCGATTATAATAATAATAAGAGAAAAATAACAATATTATATATTAAATTACTAAAAATTAAAATTATAATATAAAAAAACACTTAATATTCTAAATAAAAAAAGATATAAGGAAAATTATAAATTATTCAACTAATAATAATAATACTATAAAGGAAAAATAAATATAATATATTAAGAAAATTTGATAATATATAAAAAAGTTTCAAATAAGAAGTATATTAAAAATAAAAAATATATAATTAATTAATACTACTAATAAAGAAAATGAAAATCATTAATTTGTAATTGTTGTATAATAATTATAAGAAAGCAAGTAATAATAAATAAAAATAATACAATTATAAAATATAAAAGAAATAATAAATACAACAAAATAATAATATAATAATAAAAAAAGAAAAAATGAGATAAAAGTTTTCTTTTCATTTATAGCTTGATTTTAACTTTTCTTAACTATAAAATTTTATTACCACTAATACGTTATATATAATTATTTTTCTTTTTTTATTGATATTTAAGTAAACTTTGTACTGTGCTTTAAATTTTTATATTTTTACTTTTCCTTATTATATATATATATATATAATGTTAAATACTTTCTTTAACTTTTTATTTTTTTAACTATAATAACTTTTTACTATTTTCCTATTATATTTTTAAATACTTATACTTTTCATATTTATATATATATATATATCTTTTTTACTTTTCTTTTTATATTTATACTAACCTTTTTACTATTTTTTTATAATATATTTATTATCACTTTTACTTTTTATATATATAAAGTGTTATTATTATTATTATAGAAAACTGCAGAAATTCACAAACAAGCACTCGCTACGGCCCTTTCCAATCTCGACACTCTTCAACAAAGAAATAACGAAAAAGTTTTTTTTTGGAGCAGTTTTACTATTATTGGCACACTTATTGATTACAGTAAAAACAACGCAAATAGTGGTAAAAACGGTTTTTTGTTACAAATTCCGCTAAAGTCCATCCAATAAAGTTAAACTGCTACCTTTTAGCGCTTCGCGGCGGCAATTTAGATACACTGAGCCCACGATTTTTGCACGCAAAAAAACGCGCCTCGTACAAATTATATTTATTTATTAAAGAAAATTCTAAAAACCTACCAATCAATTAAAAATTGACACTTTCTTAGTCTTACTGTACAAATTAACACTTTATAAAGAACCTGTAGAAAACAAACGTTACTGGCACCCTTTACGTTTACTGAGCCAAAATAAAGTTCATCTTTTAGTCTAAAACGCTTTATAAACTAGTTTGGTGGCGTTTTGGGGTTTTGCTTTTTTTTTTAAAGTTTGTTTCGTTTTACTATTTTATAAAATTATTATTTTTTCTATAAAACTTTATTAGAAACTTTTACTTTTACTTATAGATAAATTTATATATTAAGCTTATGGAAAAAGACGGGGAAATACTAAACTGGAAGTCGTATTCTTTACAACTGGAAAGTTCGCTCACTGAAATTCGTGAAAAAGAGCAAGTGTTGGGGAAAAACGACCCTAAATTTAACTCTGACTTTTCAATTCTTCTTAAAACACCAATGAAACCTTTGCATGGCGAACGAACGCCTTTCAAAACGCCTTTGCCAATTGTTGGGCGACTTTAAATTTTTTTGTTTTTTATTGGTTGTTTATACATGTTAACAAAAATTTATGGCATTTGATTGTTCATTATTGGTTTTTCTTTTTTTTATATGATTATTATCAATCAAATTTTTTGTTTCTTTCAAAAAAAATGGTTTTTATAATTATAACAATTTTTATTTTTTTAAGATTTATAGTGAATTTTGGATTATAACAAGAATCAAAACTTATCAATAATAATTTTTTTATATAATTAATAAACGTAGATAATTATCTTTGAGCTTGAAAGCTATTAATAATACTTTAATGTAACCTTTTCATTTAAAAAGCAAGGAGAAAAGAAATAAGTTTAAACACAAAAAAGTTTTTTATTGTGAATTATATTCCTCGATTAGTAAAATTTTTACATTAAAAAAACATAAAATAAAAAAGTTTTAAGAGACAAATATTTACTTTTTATTGGTCAATTCTCACGTGTCCACGTGTTATGCTGCATTCATTCTTTTCAAATTTTTTAGTTAATTTTGATAATATAAAAAGTTTTTAATATATACGATAATTCCGTTTTTATATATTGTAATAATGATTATTAAAATTTTTTAAAATATTTATTAAATTCTACTTAACAAGATTTTTATTACTATTTTATTAATAATAAATAATTTTATACTAAATTCTTCAATTCTTTTTTATAGTTGTTCAGTTTATAATTAAAATAGAAAAAAAAATTATTTTTATTTTTATTTCTTTCATTTACTATTTATAATTTTTTATTAATAATTTATAAATGCTTATTTTTTTTATATTAAAAACTTAAAAGAAGAAAAGTTTATCAAAGCTTGACGAACTTGAAAATAGAAATATTTGAAAGAAATTCTTTCTGAAAATATATTTATAATAAAAATTTTACTACTAATAAATTTTATATGAAAGAATAAATAATTTATCACTTTTTAGTAGTGCAGTTTTGTAGAGTTTTTTTATTATTTTCTGATTACACAGTGGTAAACTCAGCCTCTCCTCTAAGGAAAGAGCTGGCAAGTGGACCAAAAAAAGCTTTTTTATTAAAAAGTGATTAACATACATCAGAAAGAGCTCTAAAGTTATTGCCACAGGCTTAATATATGCAAGTAGACTAATAAAAATTTATCTGTTAAGAATTTCAAAGGGCATTAAGCATATAACTATAGCGCCTTTAAGAAAACGTTAGAGAATAGAAAATTAAATTTAATACAGAAAAAATAATGTCCCCTATATAGATTTCGTTAGAGGTAATTCCATATTGTGCTGACAAACTGGTGAGTAGATGTAAAGAGAAGTAATCCTGTTTCCTTTTTAAAATTACACTATTGTTATTTCCTGATCCCACGAGTGTAGTTTACTAGGATTTAAATATAGCGCCCGTAGGAAAATTGTGAAAAAGGAAAATAGATTTAACAAAATAAGCCTGTTTATCGATGGGCGAACCCTACCGCTAATATAAATAGGTAAATTTTAAGATTTTTAATATATGCACGCAGATGAATTAAACTACTATAGTAAAGGAAAATGAATTCCAATAGAATGCATGCCACTTTGCACTCGCTTTCTAGTTGAATCTGCCTAGTAGCCCTCATAATACTAAGAAAAGGGCGCCATAGAGTAATCTGGAAGTTTCATAGGAAGAAACTTCATTTATTATAATATTTACATACCAGTCTATAAAAGTGCTCATCTTTTTAGACTATAAGAAAGTCTTATCGTACAAATCACTCGAAGAAATTTATTAGAAAAAGTTTTCAAAAAAGGTCATTTCAGAAATTCTTAACTCTATGAGCGTTAAGGAGGTTTAAAAAAATAATTAAGTTGATGAGATGTTCACTTACGGTGCATAGTTAAAGAAGATAAATTCCACCGACTGAGGGTTGCACCACGTATAATTAATTTTAATTGGGAGATTTAATCTAAATAGATTTTTTATTAAATTGTTTATCAAGTATTCATTTTAAACTTTAGTAAATAACAAGATTTTGTTTATATTAGTTTTATGGTGTTTTTCCAAGTCTATAGGATTGGAAAGGAGTTTTAGCTTTATTATTTAATATAATGTTTTGGCCTATAGTGACGAGCAGAGTTTCTCGGTAACTGTCAATAGGATAGATTATTACGAACTTAACGTTTAGAGGAAGAGCATTTATTAAAGAGCTTTAAAGCTTAAAAGAAAATTTTAAAGGAGTACCTTTCCAAATAAACTAAAGAATTTAGTAAATTATACTACTTTTCAGTTTTAATAATAAAATGAAGTTTCTTTTAAATATTATATTGACTTACTGTTAAAATAATCACCTATCATGGCTTCCTGTTGAGCTCAATTAAACAAAACTACTTCTAGTACCCCATTTTCGAACCAAGAGAAAAAAAGATCAATAATCTCATATATAGAAACTGGTTGGTTTGACTTATAGGTCTTACGGAAGATAATAATGATAAGAATCTATTTAATCTTAAATTCTTGCATATGTATGGTTCCTATAATAGTTACGACGTTTTTGGAATTGCTCTTTGTTGCTCGACAAGTTATTTTTGGTTGTTTTATTTTATTATAAAGGGTAATTGGTACATAACGGTCCCTAGACAGATAAGCTGTGAAAATATTAATTTATAAGCGAAGACAACTCAGTCTTAAGATTTTCACACTTACTTTCCCAGGATGTAAGCCGATTTAAAATGACTGTTCTTTATAAAATCATGTTTTAAAATTTTTTATATGACAATTACTTCTATTAAAATCAATCAAATTTTCTATTTTTTCCTCAAAAGTACATCGACTGTAAAAGAGATCAAACTCTTCATAAATCATGCTGTTTCCTAGCATGGAACAACAGTGTAACCTTTCAGTTGACGTTAAAGTACTAAAAGAAAATTATTATTAAACATTTATCACGAAGTCATTACAAAACTAAAATATATTGCGGTTTATAAAAATGAGAAAAAAATATCTTAAATTATATTATAGAATTATTGTTGTATAAATATCTTACAAAGTCTCCAGTTTATCTAAATGAGAAAAGGAGTTCTTTTCAATAAAAGTAATTGGATTATCATCTAAAATTCTGAAAATATTTTACCAATGAAATTTTAGAGTTAGTTACATGGATGTTATTTTAAGTAAAAAAGTATGGAAATCTTTTCACACTTTTTATATCTTTTTTATTGTTGAGTATAATAATTTTTCGTTTATTTAAATTCAAGAACGGCGGAGAAAGAGAAAAGAAATGATCGATTTATTGCCCCGTAGAGGAAGGGTGTTTTTTATCTTCAGGGAAAAGACTACATGTACAAATTACAGACGTGGAAACACATGACACAGTCACGCGGTATAAAAAAAACAAAGTACGTATAGTATGTATATTTTAGACTTGAAGATATCTGACATAGAGTTTATTTAAGTATTTGTACATACAGTACTAATTTAATAAATATATGTCTGAAAGCACCACACCGAGAGCGAAACAATAATTATAAAACGAAAGTAACGTCGTGCGCGCTAACCCATATACATATAACATATAGCCTTCGAGGGTCGGATCCTCCTATCTGAAATATTGTAATAATGCGTTTATAACTAAAAGGTTTTTACAACTTACTAAAACTAAATAGTTTTGAAAAAAATTTTATATAAATGCTAGAAATACAAAAAAAGAGTTTTATAGGCTACAAAACCTCTGAACTGTTTTAATTATTGAAGTTTCTCTAACGGATTTTTAATATTATAAAATAAAAAAGTTAGTAATCTAAGTGAACTGAATAGTTCTTTGGAAATATACGAGAAATGTAAAGCTTTTTTTAAATAATAATATAATATAAAAAACACGCTTCTTTTGTACACCATTATTTGCCTGCAATAATAATTCTTGTACTTTTTTTTCTTCTTAAACTTTTATTTCGCTGCTGCACCCCTTTAAAATTTTATAATAATTTTATACAAATATTCTCCAGCTAATAATTATGCTTAATGTGCACAGTCACAATTGGGTGCGCTCTTTCAGTAATTGTTTTAAAAAAAAAAAAAGGAAGGTATACAAATTTATAAACGTAAGTAAATATATTACAATTTCTTTAAGTTAGTAAGAGAACTAAAATGAATTGACCCAACGGAACTTAATAAATTGTGGGATAAATATCTGCAGAAAACGAATAAAAAATAAAAATTATAAAGAATTTATTATAAAATTTATATAAACTTACAAAGTTACCAAATTGTGAAGATTTTGAAACGCATTTTCCTCGATAAAAGTTATGTGATTCGATGATAACTTTCTTAAAAAAAAAAAAGAAAATAAGTAATACTAAGTATAAGGAGCGTTGAATATTTAGGAACTATAACAATAAATTCGTAAGACTTCTGTACACTAGAAAAATTAGCATTTTAAATAATAAGGCTAATAATAATAATAATACTGACTAAATTATCAAATAAGGTTTACTATTAAGTTAATTTATAATATTAAAATTTAAAAAATATATATTAGTTATAACTTTAATAATCTTACAATGATCTTAGATTTTTTAAAAATTGAAAATGTCGGCTAGAAATTTTTAATATTTTATTATCATTTAAGTTCCTAAAATAAAAATTGAAGGAGAAAACAAAAAAAAAAAGCAAAGTGGTTACAGGTGCCTTAAGGAGGGGAGAGAAGAGAAGATAGTAGGCGGTAAGGAAAAAATCGCATTTTTTGCAAGTTTCCTAGTTTTTAAATTTACAGTTTTAGGCGAAAAACACAAACTACGAAGTAAATGGTACAGGTATGTTAATTGATTAATTCTAGGAAATTGTAGGTATGAGTATAAGGAGATATTATTTTTCTTTAAATTCCTGATTAAAAGAGTACTGGATAAAAAATACTAACAAAATTTTTATAAATACTTACAAATATTTTAGGTTATTAATAGCTTGAAAAACTGTTAAACATGTGAAAGATAATAAGTTGAATGATAAATCTCTGTTTAAAGTATTGAGAAGATAGATTGGTTTTTATCAAAATTGTTATTAGGAGAAACCCTTTA